ATATTTCCCTTTATTAGATTTCTAAAATCACCCCTTTAAATATTTAAATAGAGAAAATTATTTCAGACTGAAGAAAGAAGCTTTATTTGGAATGATTATAATTTGCTTTTATTATTTTAAAATCTGGAAAGTCTATTAGTGATTATCATTTTTGACAATCTAACCTTACATAAAACTTATAAAACCTCTAAATATAGAGTTTTAATGTTGTTTGGTCAGATAAGTTCTTCACAATGTGTTTATCAGTTTACTTATTTTTCAAATAAGTAAAATCAATCTTCTAATATTTTAATACCTTTTCTATATAACACAATTTTTTCCTAAGGTATTGTTCCTTTATTCTCTGGTCAAAGGTAGAATGATCTGGGAAGAACAGAGTAAGAAAGATACTGAGACCTTGAGGCAGATTGTCTGACTATAAGGATATGATAGGAAATTTCAGACAGCACGTGGAGTGACATAACAAAGATGGCAGAGTAGGAGGTCCAGATGCTGTCTGACCAAAAGAATAATAATCAGTTATCCAAGAATAATGATAACTCTGAGAGAGTTCACAAGCCCTCTTAAGAAATTTCAGCCATATAATAAGTAGAACAAAATATCCTGAGAATAATTACACAAAAATAGTCTGAATGATAGTTTCATTTTGCCTTCTTTACCTCACACCTTAGAATAGCACCACTTAGTGCCAAGAGAAAGCTTCCTCTTTGCAGGAAAATCTAGAGCTGAAAAGAATACACACTTTTTGTGGGCATGACACAAATGACATGGCCCTAATTCCTGTCACTGGCCTACTCTTCCACAAGCACTAGCAGCCTATCAGGCATTAACTACTTCTTTTCTCAGAAATAGGCTGGAAGATGTGAGTTCTCTCCCAGTTTTGTCACTGTGCGGTTTATTGTGAGAGCATATTTCAGCCTTTCTCATTTTCACATGAGATTAATAGATTTGTCCAATGTGTGAGAATCACTCAACTAGTTTCTGGATTTTCTTTAGAGAGAATTGTTAAACTTCTGTCTGTAAGTGAAATGCTTTCATGGGAGGTGTATGAGCTTCAGAACCTCCTAAGTTACCACTAGGGCCAGAATCTAGATAGGTCTATACTCAACATTTTAAACCAAAGGTTAATTTCTTGACTATCTGCCTCCAGAGGTGTCAAGATAAAAAAATTAGACATGTAAAGTACATTGAAAATGATAGAACCTTATATAAATATAAGTGAAGATTGCTTTGGTATCCGTATGTAGCATTGAATTCCAGAATGGCCAAGAGGAGTGTGCAGTATTATTCATCTCTTTTCCCTGCATGATCAGGCATATTCAAATCCCTCTCTTGCTTATTAAGTTGCAAAATAAAACTGATTTAGTTTAAGAATTCTGTGATGGGCCAGGTGCCTTGTATGCCCCAATATTTGTTGCCAATTTCTTTTTGAAAGAAAGAGCAAAGCAGTTGGCTTATAATTCAGTTGTTTCAAGCTGCCAAATGACTTTATATATACAGAAGAGAAACAACTTTCTCCAACACATAAAGAAGCCACCTATATCTTCTCTCTCCATTCTTTCATTCTAATTTTTGTAGTGTGTGACTTGTAAACAAAACACATCTTATTGTAGTTTCCATCATCCAGTGCATATTGGAAAAAGGAACTATAATACTATATAATATTTCTTTAAAATATCTCCTTACAAGGTTCCTCAAACTGCTAAACATGGAGCTTACTTATGACCCAGCAATCCCACTCCTAGGTATCTACCCAAAAGACACAAAAACACTGATTGAAAAAGATACTTGTACCCCCATGTTTATTGCTGCTTTATTTACAATTGGAAAAACATGGAAGCAGCCCAAATGCCCAAAAGTAGATGACTGGATAAAAAAGATGTGGTACATATATACAATGGAATATTACTCAGCAACCAAAAAAGAGAAACACATGTCTTTTGCAGCAACTTGGATGGAACTGGAAAAGATCATGCTTAGTGAGATAAGCCAGAAAGAGAAAGAAAAATACCGGATGGTATCACTCAGAGGAGAAGTATAATGGATCAGGTGGAAAATAACCAAAATAATGAACAACCATATACCAGAGACATTTTGTGGGGGTGGAGTGGGGAATGGGATAAAAAATGGGGTGGGGGGAGGGAAATGCACGGGATTATGGTGATGGCACATGGGTGACTTGGTGATGGGAAACCCGCGGGGATTACAATTGAGATGGAAAAAAAATGTACAAAATGATGTAAAAATAAACTTTTGTAATAAAAAATAAATAAATAAAGACAACTATAAAAAAAAAATCTCCTTACAAATAATTCACTTCCCAGTATCAGTTGATCACTTGATGATTTGAATGGAGGTGCAATGGAACGGAAACATAATTCATAACAACTTATTACAAATAATGTTATTGTTTTTTTCCCCAAAATTAGAATAGGCTGTTTCCAAGTATTTTTGTAATCACTGTGCACAAGGCTCTTGGGGCCTTCGGATGAGAAGTGATTATTACACTTGGGAGAAGAATATTTTTCAAAAGGGGGATTTCAAAAGTGTTTCTTCTTCTTTTATCTCCAAAGCTATAGGTAGTCCACTTAAATTGTATTTTTAATCATCACAAACAGTGTCCAAACACTTGGGAAAGAGAATGTTTAAATACTAAGTGCAATTTAACCCTTGTTGAATATGTAGTTATGAATATTTAATATCAAATTTTTCTTGTAATTTATATGTTTGTGTTTTCTATACTACATCAAGTTAGGGTGATAATTTGTCCTTTGTAGTTTCAAAGATTGTTCTTTCATTCACTAACAACAATTTATAGTACATTTATAGTATCAATACAAACCCATTAACCTATGTGCCAGATATAAGGTTTTAAGAGATGTAGGAATATTCATTAGGAACAGGTAAATAATGTTACAAGTATACCTCCATAAAAGGGAGGTACCATGTTCCTTGCCACTGCCATCTAGGAATATAAGTCCCAATATGCCAAGAACTGGATTTCCTGAGTGGGAGAGCTACTGGCATCTAGGGGCAGAGCTCAGTGGACCTGTGAACCTATAAAACACAGCAGGAAGGAAGACCATCTCTTCCTCTCTGGTTTCTACTTGTACCCTGGTACTACTAAGAGGGATTCAGAGGAGAGACATGTAGAAATACTTGGAAAAGAGACACGTGATTAGGCTGTTCTTGGTCCTCGGCAGAGACAGTGACAGCCATTGTCTTAGCATCATATTGGATTATATTTTGGCTCTTCTCTTTTTGCCCAGCAATATGAGACCTGCCTAACCCCTTTCCCATGGTCCCTTGCCAACAGTTACCTTAGACCTATGGCAAGCTTTTGGACCTCAGCAACTGCACTTCAGATGAGCATTTTCAAATGAGGGGGTAGGTAGTTTAGAGGGTTACTAGAAATACTGTTAGTATATCTAGTTAGTTCTGTTACTCCTCCTTCTTTCACTGCCTCTTTCCCTGCACACTAGTTTATTAAAGATCTTTCACAAAACACAAGCCTACTCCTTTTGCTGTGTGCAGGCAGATGGTCAAAGCCCTTTAAAATCAAGTACCTCTTGATAGCTTAGGACTCCTGAGTACTCCTCAGTCGTGCTCATGATATTAAATATAATTTGAGAGAAAAGGGGAGAATAAAATGGCATTTAGCATTAGTCCTAAATTCCTTTGAGATGTATATGAATGGATGACTTGTCTAGACTACTAAGCAGATACTAGTTCAACTGTAGTGCACATGTTGCGTTTCAAACACTATTTAGTGGGAGAATACGAATGCAGGAAAAGTCCAGGTCTGAGTATTGGGGATGCAAATAAAAATTATATTTTTGATAAATTTCAGGAAAATGGCTAAGAAATGAGTAAAGCATTTAGGAAAAATAGTTCTTAGTATTTAAAATAAAATGAATTTATTATCAATCTTATTTGGAGTTTTACTTAGTACAATAATCAGATAATGATTTTTCAGTTCCTCCATTTTTTCATGTAACACTCTGAGCTTGTTTTTTTACAGGGATTTTTTTTTTTAGAGATTTCTTTATTTATGCATACAAGAAATAGGGTGTATGCCAAAGTTGTGGAGGTGGGGATCAGAAAATTCACCAGAGTCAGAGTTGGGAACAGAAAAGGAAGAGCTACTGAATACACCACTGAGGGGAGCAGTGGATGAGACAGGAGATCTGCTGTGCCTTGTGGGTCAGCTCCTGGCAAGGGATCAAACTGTGCTGCAGTGACTGTGGGCAGCTTTATATTTTTTACTTTAACCCCGTAACACAAGGAAGGCCCCAAGGATTTTTTTTTTTTAGTTTAAGTATTACTACTTAAATTAAGGAAGCTATTTCTTAATATTTTAATACAAAATGAACAAGTACTGTATGCCTTCATAGTATTCTGAGACAAGCAAAATCATACTCAGAATGTTTTCATTCTTTAGGGAAAAAAAATTAAAGGTATAAAAAGAATAAAGATTTTGTAAAAGTATATTCTAACTTCTAAGTTTTTGCTATTCTATATGTATGAATGTGAAATAATAACAAAACATTAAAACACAATATATTTGAAGAGATTTGGAGACCTAATTGTCTATATTCAATACACCATGAATCCATGAATCAATTCATATTCCATATAGAAAATAGGAAGATGTTATTAGATGTTTTACAAACTAGATTTTTTTTTTTTTTATGTTGGAAAGAGAGGGAATGAGGTTATTTGTAAAAGAGAAAAAAGTGAATTTAGGCAAAGTCACCTTCTGGTAAAGAATCTTATTATACTGATTACCTCACTAGTGCTGACCAAGAAACTCTAGGTTGATCAGTTTAAAATTCCACTCGTCAGAAGACTCAAACTGCAATTACATTTGGTATTAAGTCTTGGTGGGACTTGGCATAAATGATTCCATTTGGGGACTGTTGTTTATCTTTAACAAGCAAACAGACAAAAAATGTAATACTGAAAGTGAGCACTTTTTTTTTTCTATCATTTTCTTTCAGCTCTCAGGAGAAGTTGTTTTACAAATTGCCAATGAACCAGTTCTGCCCTTCAATGCTCTTGACATAGCTTTAGAAGTTCAAAACAAACTTAAAGGTAATTTTTCTTTAAATGTATATTAATAATTTCAGCAAATAAAACATTGATCAACTACTTTTCAACCAGGAATGGATAAAATCATATATTATCTGACTAGCCATGGTAATGCAGTGTTTCCCTCTTATATACAAAATGTCATGAGAACGGCTGACAAGACTTTCAGCTGTCATGTCAGTAAGAGTAAGGTATATATACGTAGTAGGTATTAAAATAATATATCATATCTTAAAGACTGTCCCACTTCCTTTCATAGGAGATTGATAATTCTAAGCTTCTTTTAGTACTTTCAGTTTCCACATGAAAATGTTATTCGTATTAAGTTAATGTTTGTACCTAACATTCAGTCAATTCAATTTTCTCAGGTTTGAATAAATATCTTTCTGTAGAACTCTGACACCATTCACAAAATGATATTTTTATTCTGCTTATCAATATACATATCTTTAATTTAACTTCTAATTGGTCTTCATTAACCACATTCACAGAGACCAAATGTAATGAATATTCCTTCCTTTTCCTCTCTGAGTCATACATCTTACTCTCAGGTCTTTAATTTGTAAACATGTGTTTGTGAATACAAAAAAAAAAATGTTTTAGAAATAATATTTAAGAGTAAGAGGTACTACTTGGAATATTCTAAGAAGTCAAATAGTTCCAGTACCTATAAGGTAAATATGTTTTTTGTTGTTGTTGTTGTTGGCAACATGTATTCCTTCTTAACAAAGAAAATACAACACATATTTTTTCCCCTTCTCAACGATTCCTATGATTTGTAGTATAGTTTCTATAAAACCATGACCTTGGGAACAATTGAGCCATTTAGGGTTATTTGCTCCCATAATAAATGTTCTTATATTTTTGTAATTTTGGTATATTTTAGTAAGTTTCTTTTTTTTCTTTTTTCTTTTTTTATTCTTGTCGAGCTACCATGTCACTATTGTCCGTGTGACTACTGGTAAGAGTCACAATATTCTCCACTTCTAATTAATTATTTGTAGAATAATTTGTGCTTAAAAGTTGAGTATAACAAAGTATGTGACATTTTACAAATAAGAACAGAACAAGTATAAATAAAGGGATAAAAATTGTGTGCATAGTAAATGCATATACTGTAAGAATTTCTTTAAGCATCTGTTGATTTCAGTCTTATTTATTCACTTAATTTGTCAGTTCTCATTTGCACACTTTAGAAAATCTAGTTGATTATGAATATAATGCTTAAAAATTTCAGAGAATAAAAGCTGATTATACTTTATATCACAAAAATATAATTTATATTATAAAATATTAAAAATACAAAAATATATTCATGTGAATATATGAATGTGATACCTATAATGACTGTCACACACAGAAAGGAACCCCAAAAAAGTATATTGTAAAATACTAGCATTACATAATATGAATTGTAAGTTGGTTTATCTGAGTCCGTTTTTTCTTTGATAAATATATTTGTAATAAGTAGCAGTATCTCCTTGGTGGTGCAACAGGTTAAGTCTCAGCACTATCAAGCTATCTGGAGCCATGGTAGCATGAGTTGCATCCCCGGCCCTGGGGCTAACTCCTCAGCAATGTATTTCAGTTGAACCGTATGTTCTGTTCCCCACTTTATCTCTGGTGAATCTGCTCACGCCCCACACCTCTGGCCTACACCCTAGTTCTTAAATGCATACATAAATAAATAAACCTTTTAAAGTAATAAATAATTTTTAAAAAGTATCTTATTAAAAAACTAAAGCAAGTGAAGAAAATAGCATTAGCAACACTGTCATTTTAAAGATCAACTTCTATTATTTTTGAGTATTGTGTTTATTATTAACAGTCCATAAATAAGTGTAATATTTTGGAATTATACTTAGCCTAGGAGCATTTTAAATGAAGTGGGCTATATTTGGAGATTAATAAGTATCCTAGTGATCATTGTTAGAATGTTATTATTACTCTGTCTTTCTGCAAACAGAAATTCCTTTCAATATCTAAGGAAAAACATAGTCTCTTTTTTTAAAAAAAAAGATTTATATATTTATTCGTACAGAACTGGGGTACAGGCCAGAGATGCGAAGGGTGAGAGGATTCACCAGAGACAGAGCAGGGAGCAGAACAGGCAGATCAACGAAGTACACTGCTGAGGGGAGCAGCGGGCGGGTCAGGAGAGGTCTGCCACGGCATGTGGATCTCCTCCGGGGCAGGTGGGAATCGAACTCATGCGGAAGTGACTTAAGCTTCTTAGTGCTGTGCTTTAACCTGCTGCGCCACCAAGGAGGACCCTAAAACATAGTCTCTCTTAATGGAAAATTGTATACATGCCAAAAATTTTGACTATCATCCCCATGGATATTATATGATATTCTAAACTCACTTATCTATTAATTTAAAAAAATATATATTGAACATCCATTTACATCCATCTGGTACAATTCTATGACAAAAACAGTAGGCAACTAACTAAAGAAACTAAAACAAAATTTAAAGCCTTGCTTCTTAAGAAACATGCATGGTAAAACAAAACTGACATAAATCAAAATAGTTTTAAATTAGCATTATACTCAACTTGTTCTCTAATGTAAATTGGCTTGGAACTCATTTGCATTCTCAAAATAAGTGTATTAGCAAAAGTGACTATAATTGTATCCAGAGTACAGATGAATATAAATGTGGAAGTTGTTACAGATGAGATACCTAAGGGTTTGAATATAGATAGAAGACAGAAAAGGTCTAACATTTCTGGAGTGCTTCTACATTTAGCAATTGAGTGTGGAGGTGGAATCAGAAAGGAATGAACAAAGAGTAAGAGAAAAACAAGGTGATTTTGATAACATTAAGAAATCAGATTATGTCTTTGAATTTTGAAATTGTCAGCGTTAAGGCAGGGAATGACAGAATCATCCCCTCTAAGACTCACAGTTCAAAGAACAAGCAGTGACCTAGAGACACTGGATATTGCTCTTGTCAAGCTATTGAACCAAAGGATGTGGAAAACTGAATGTGGTTCAGACAACTAACTGCAGTAGAAGCAGTATCCTTAGAGGGAGTCATGTTTCAGTTAATGTAAGAAGGTAAAGAAAACACTCAGAGAATAGTCCAGGTTAATAATTCTTTCTTAGTAGTTATAGCTGTAAGCATGTCCATAGAGGAGGAAAAAAAATAAATAAACAAAACCAGTGCAAAGATTCTACAAAAATCTCCACTAAAGTTTACATAAAACTCCCCCTAACATTCAAGGTTCTCTGTTGGATGAGACAGGAGCATTTGACTTATTTCTGTTTTATTAGACTACTGCTCCAGTTGAACAACTTTTCCTTTAGTTGTTAGTTATTTTTGAGTAATGTTTTCTTTTGATGTGAAACTACTTGGATTTCCTTGTCATTTTCACCCAGAAAAATGTAGCCAGACTTTAGATGTAAACAAACAGAAAAAAACAACAAAGCAAAACCAAACCAAATGTATCCCAAAAATGGAGGAAAAAAAATATTTCTCCATGACCTCTGAATAAGTATCTGATCAAAGTACTAGGATTTATTATTTTTTTAAATAAATCTTTTTAACTTTAATCATTATGACTCAGAACTTTATGTTCTGTTTCATAGTTTAAGATTATTCAAACACTCAGATTATAGAGTATTTTGTGTATCTGTCTAATTGTTACTACTTTGTTTATAAATGTATTTCTAATATAGAATAATTTGTTAATTTGTAAATAATGGACATCAATTATCAACTAAATAGATATTTCACTTTCATTTTTAGCTACACTGCTAAGTAATTTCACTAGCTAAATAGTTTCCCGTATCAGGTTAAATAAAACACATACTCTTACTGCTTAATATAAGGTTTAATTGTTTATAGTTTTTTTTTGTTGTTATGACAGTAATGGTGATTAGTACTAAGTTCTCTATTAAATTAAAAAAAAAATGACCTTCAAGTCTGAACTGTAAAATACTGTTTCTCCTTACTGCAAAGAGTTTAAGTATGAAGGTCTCTGAAACCCAATTGCATTTTCAACAGTGTAATTTTTACCCCTTGACAACCGACCATCTTGTTTATTTATTACACAAGTTTACAGTAGCAGCAGACCATTCTCTACTGTTCTCACAACCAACAGAAAGAAGGATAATTTAACCAGTGAGTAATTTGTTTCAGTTGATTTATTGGATGGTTCTTGAAAGCTCATTTTGACTGAATGACCTTGGCTCCTAATATTTGGTCAATGCCAAGCACATAATAGTTAGAAAATGAATATTTATGTGTGTCCATGGAGATACAGTGTAAATAGTGACTGATAAGATAACCAGTGCACTTCAAATGTACTTGTGACAGATAAAATATGTCCAAGAACTGCACATTCAAGGAAATAGTACTAGATTATGGAGGACAGAGGGAGGTATCAAAAATGAATAAAGTACCACCACAATTTTAAATCTGAAAGTTGACTGAGAAATAAGACTTAAAAACATTATTAAGTTATGGTTTCACACTTTATCTCCCCCTTTTTTTTTAAGATTTATTTATTTATGTATACAGAACTGGGGTACAGGCCAGAGGCTCAGGGGCGGCGAGAGGCTTCACCAGAGACAGAGTGGGGAGCAGAACAGGCAGATCTACGAAGTACACTGCTGAGGGGAGCAGCGGGCGGGTCAGGAGAGGTCTGCCACGCCATGTGGTCACCTCCAGGGCAGGCGGGAATCGAACTCATGCAGAAGTGGCTTTAGCTTCTCAGTGCTGTGCTTTAACCCTCTGCGCCACCAGGGAGGGCCACACTTTATCTCCTTTTAATGTATAAAGCAGCACTGCAAAAAATAATGAATGATTATAGAATCCCAAGGTGTTTTTTTTAATGTCTGTGATATTCATTTGTAAGCATTCTATTAAGTCCTTCATATTATTTGCAAAAAGTAAAATGACCAAATAAATGCCATTTTTATTTGATCTGGCTATGTACACATTTTGCCTAGTACAAGCCAGACTCAGCAGGAAACACAACATAGAATCACGTGGCT